GTAGCGTATAGCAAATGAACTTAAACGTCATCTGTCAAAGCGCTATATCGCCGCTATCAATTTGAATATTTTCGTTTTAAAAAGCGTTTAAAATGGTGTTTTCTCAAGAACAAAAAGTGTTTATCATAGAGTCCTACTTTAGAAATGGACGCAAGATTGATGGAATATGGAAGTATTCTATTGAGGAATGTTTCATAGAATTTCAAAATCAATTTCCCGGCGTTGTTGAGTACAAAATTTTTCAAAGTGCAGTTCAGCGTTGTGTTAATGTTTTTCGTGAAACGGGCAGTGTAACAAGAAAAGAAGGAAGCGGCCGACCTAAAAAGCGGACTGAAGAATTAAAAGAAAATGTCCAACAAATAATGGAAAATGCGCCAAGAACTTCTGTACGTGTTTTATCACAAATGGTGGGAGTATCAGTCGGTACCTGCCACACAGTGTTAAAAAAAGATTTGCGTTTGTTCTCCTATCGTTTAACTTGTCAGCAAGAACTTCATGAAGTTGATTTTCCGCGACGGGCTGTATTTTGTGAATGGTTTTTAAACAACTACGGTGAACTTCATAATATCACCTTTTTTTCTGATGAAGCCTGGTTTCATTTAAGTGGTTACGTAAACTCACAGAATATGAGAATGTGGTCTTCTGAAAAACCAGATAACTTTTTTGTCGAGGGCCCTCTACACGCTCAAAAAATTGGAGTTTGGTGTGCTCTCAATCGAAGGAGGATTTATGGACCTATTTTTTTAATGGTACTCTTACTGCGCAAAGGTATAGAGAAGAAATTATCGCTCCTTTTGTTAACCAGCTGGAAGAAAACGAAATTACAAACTTTTACTTTCAACAAGATGGCGCAAGGGCACATACGGCAGGCGAGACGATGAATATGTTGAGGGAAGTTTTCCAAAATCGACTAATAAGTCTCAATGCTGAACATGAATTTCCACCGAGGTCATGTGATATTACGCCGTGTGATTTCTTTTTGTGGCCTTACCTTAAAAACACTATTTTTGAACTGCCTATTCCTGATTTAAACCATCTGCAGGCTCGACTTATAGACAAGATTCGTGAAATTAACAATACCCCGAGCATCTTAGAAAATGTCTTTAATTCTTTGAGGAACAGGTGTGAAAAGTGCTTGGAACAAGGAGGGGGACACTTTCAGCAGCTGCTTTAATTTATTGTTATAACAAGGAGGGGGACACTTTCCGCAGCTCCTTTAATTGTTTGTTATTGTTATCACGATTATTCTTTAAAATAAAGTTATATAGTCATTAACGTTATTGAAACTGACAGCTGCTATACAGCTCGTTGAGAAATGAGGTTAAGTTGGTAGCTATAAGCTACTCCCTACGTCCAATGTGTCAGAGCCAACTTCGACCACGTTTTTATTTGAACGCTCGTTATTATGCATCATAGTAGGTAGCTATTTCTCCCGCTTGGTTTGATGTGATAAAAGATTAGCATTTTTTATGCGAAATTGGATACGATATGCACCAATGAGAAGTCCTCTGTGCATACTGATGGAGCGTGGAACTGTAAATATGCTTCCGGGCGCGAGAAACAATTCGAGGGGATCTTGAGCCTCCGAATGGAGACCAAGTCTGACCTTGTATAGCCTGTAATAACAACGAACATGTACACAAACGGCCCACGCAGTGCCATTAATAAACAACTTTCCTGTGCGCGTTTTATATCAAACATCCGTGGAAATGTAAATAAAAGTGTACCAGAAATTCATTTCTACTATAATCATGACTCAATCGTTGAAAGATAGTTTACGAGATATTTTTTCTTCAACTATAACGTGTCGCAGTTTTTTTTGTATCAGATGTGGATTAGTTTATTTTGTTTATAGTAATAATTATTAGCAATCGATATTGGTTGCAGTTATTTCTTCCTTCCTGTACCAATAGTCCCTGTTTATATAATTACTAAATAAGTAAATAAACTGCCCTACGAATAATATACTTGGCCTGGATCTGTAGTACCACATTGTAACATATTTTTTTCTTAAATTATGCGATATTTACTACCTATATGTAGAAATATAGAAAAATACAGGGTAGTTTTTGTTCTTTTCTGGGTATTTTCCCTCGTCATAAGAATCAATGAGGGGTTACTGAAATAAGTTTTTAATGGCCTTTGCAATATACAATATGTTAAATTTTTATATTATGTTAAATTTTTACAACAGGAAACAACTACACTGCGGACTAAAGCCGCGTCCAGCATTTAATATCGCCAGTAATATCTGTTAAAACATTTTATATATCACACATATTAATTAATAATTTTCTAAAACATAATCTGCCCAGAATAATTAAATATCTTCTTTTCTGACATCACTTTTTTGAAAAAGATAATGTTGCTTAATGAACCACAATAGATGAGCTGACCGATTTCTGAATTTATAAGGATTGCTTTTCAAGTATCATCCCTTGGGATTAATATCTGAATATTTATAGATATTTTTAATGATGTAGTCCATGGTGTAATTGTTTCCTACAATAGCTTGTTTTTGAAATTGCTTTTTAGCCTACTTAGATGTTGGTGTCACACAGCATACCTGACTTCATCGGATGAAAATTTTAGAAAAATTTGAGTTAGCTCAGTACCTGTAAAAATACAAAAACTAATTTTAAAATTAATTCAAGAAAGATCTTGATCAATTTTCCAGTGAGCTACTTAAATACTTTGAAGCCTTGAATTTTGATATTGTTTTTTAAATCGCAGATTGTTGCTAAGAATAATATAAGTGCACCAAATAAAAAAATGCTTGGCTGAGAAGTTGTGACAAAATATGACTAATTAAATAAAAAAAACTTTCAAATTATGTAACACCATTAAATGTTAACATTGAGTTTTTGAAATAGAGACTTATATACCATTATTTGTATGAGTAGAATCATTCCCTAAATTTATTATCACTGTTTCCCATTCTACATGTTTCGAAAGCGTTTTCATTTTCTTTCATTTTTTGACAAAAAATTTCAATGTTTCTTAATCCTTTACTTTTTTCTGTCGACTATGTCATATTAGCACGTAATTAAATAAATAAATATTTAAGTTCCTAGTGTGGCAAAATAACAACTTATTAAGCAATGCCACAAATACACAAATTTCAGAAAATATAGTTTTCATGTTTTCAAAGGTGTAACAATTTTAGAATGTAATAGATATACCTACATTTAGATATTTGTGTAATTGAAAATATTAAAATATTCTCTAATTCGAAATAAGGAATGAAATTTATCAAGAAAAGTAACCAAAGGTACCAGTTTTTCGGAATTGGGTATTTACAATATTTTTACAAAAACTGGCTCTAAAAAACTTGTTACGAACTAAAACGTTCAGAGAATGTGATGCACACAAATAAATATATTGTTTTGTCACTAAATAATATTCTGCAATTGAAGGTAAAGCGAACTATACAGGCTGTTACAATTTCGCTTCTCTAAAGGTGGATTTCACAGGGCCAAATGACACTTAGAGTGTACGATAATTCAAGAAACATAGAAATCTAAAAAAAATAAGATATATTTGGAAGGAATACGTTGAAGATGAATTTTTCGAGACACAACGTCTGAATCTGGTTCGGGCTGAGGCAGTACAGTATTGGGGGTCATGAAGGCTTGCAAAAAATGTAATAAAATTTCTAGGGTTGTATTTGAAAAAATGAAGTTGATGATGGTCCTGGGAAGACGAAACGGGACATATAAAAATTGATTATGCCATTCGATAGAGGGCAAAAAGTTGCCATGAGAAAGTGTTCTTCTTTTTTCAATGTCACCTCAATTTTTTCAATATCACAAGGCTGAAATGAAACAAAATTGGATTTTCAAAATTTCGGTTTTTTTCAAATATTTCGAAAATTAATCATGTTAAGCTTGATTTTTTAGAGACAATATGTTGGTCCCTGATTATGCAACTTTGCCCCCATTCAAGCTACTTCGTATCTCTTACTGTTTCCGAGATCCCTGTAGTGAGAAGCGAATTTGTAACAGCCTGTATATTCAATTTCGCTAGTACCCCTAATATAAATTCTTGATTTTAAAAATTTATATTCAAATAATATCATCAACCTTGTGATACCCTAGACTCCTAGACTGTGGATATGTTATTGCAGAAAACTTCTTATATCTTCGTCTCTTGTACTACATTACATATTAACAGATGGCGCAATTAAAACATTTTTGGCACTTTTATATATTTCTTAATTGTTAGTTAAATAATGATTTCATAAAAAAATAAAAGAAGTACTGGCCAATTTGTTTTCCATATTATTTAAATTTATGGTAAAATGAAAAAGGTGGCAAACACCTATTATATTGAATTTTTCTATATTGTACATTAAAAAATTTGCATCTAGACCAAATTTGATTAAAGACTATTGAATGACTGGTTTATAAGATGAAATAATACCTTACTTTTACCTGCTCCATGGAGCAAATTTCTGAAATACTATCTCGAAGGTAATATAATTTACTGGTTCATTGGTTCTGATATTGATAAGCAATTTAACTGTTTCTCTTCTTATCGCCTGTTCAAGTTTTTGAAAAATTAATAACATATATTGCAATGTTTAAACCTGTTCTACCAATTTTTAACCCAATAAATTGTTTAAGAAATTCATCGATTTTAAATTTAAGGCTATCAATTTTTAGAATAAAAACCATCATGATAACATTTAATTACAAACCATATCAAACATGTATATGTAACATATTCTTTAAATATTTAAAATAAAATGTAATAAATTAAAAAGTGGTAGATTTGACTGAATATTAAAAGTTGCTGAAATTAGCCAATAAGTAAGAACCAACTGCATTGTCGTAATAAACATAATAAGCTGTTTCCAATATTTGTGTTATAAGTTTTACAAGAAATATGCTACTTGCCCAATTTTTTTTAATAAATTATTGAGTGAAACATAAAACTAAAACTATTTTTTTTATGAAAACAACCTCTGATTTGGTTATTTATAAATATATTTGTTGTAGATGAGGCGAGATCTCGACAGAAAGGTGTGCTGGTTCACTGTTTGGCTGGCGTGTCACGTTCCGTAACTATAACGGTCGCCTACCTTATGTACAAATGTTCCCTGAACCTCAATGATGCCTTTAACCTTGTTCGTTCACGCAAGTCCAACATCGCACCGAACTTCCATTTCATGGAGCAGTTGCATAATTTCGAGCGAGAGCTGAAACTAGACGTGTCTTCCCAAAGTCCCCTTCCGTTGATGGAGCAATTAAGGCAGGAACAAAAAAACAGAGGCAATAAAACCGAGCAAAGAAAACCAAAAGGACCATGCCAGAACTGCGGCCTAACAGACGACTGCAAGTGTAGGCAGCACAGCGAGTTCCTGAGTCCCCTGGCCCAAATCGGGGTCAGTCCGGATTCCGGGATAGAGTTCGACAGGTGGGCTTCGGGAACACCCGGTGAATGAGGTCATCAGGGAGGGTCGCAGTGGCACTTTTAAACCTTGAATGTAGGATCATACCTGCATGGTGTCACCGTCATCCTCCCTTGCACAAGTTAATATGTCTTACTTCCTAATAATATTATTTTTATCATATTTTAAAATTTTATGTGTATATGAAATTAATTTAAACTATATATTCAAGTAATGAACTTTATTTAGCGCATAACAAAATTGTTTTAAAATATGTTAATGTACTAAATTTTTTATTCCAAATTCATTTATTGATTCATTTCATTACTGGCCTAAATAGAAATATTTCATCAAACCTGGGAGGACAAAATCAATTATTATATATAATTATCTCACAGTAGTGTTGCCTGTTTCGTTGGACCAGTTAAGTAGTGTATGATTTTCACACGTTAAAAAGAGACATGTATTTTTTTGTTATCTAGAGGGCAAATTTTTTAATAGCAAATGTGAGGTGCTTCGCTTAAGGGATGACACTTTCAGAGCTATTTGGAAGTTTCCAAGTCCACCTTTTGTGTTCAGAAAAAAATATTAATGTCGTCGCATTTTGTAACATACTCTCTTAATTTTAATGTAATTAACAATTATGGTTAGTCATTACCTTCATTTGTTGTGTATTCAGATGACGTGAAATCTATAAAAACTTTTCTACAGCCAAAAATTTAGTATCACATCTTTTTTTTTACGAAATTTGGAAATATGATTATGTGGTACCTGTAGATTTGAGGATTTCTCTGAAAGTGAGAGAACGTGCAGACGTGCCCTCCAAAGGGTAAATTTCTAAGATGATGGTTTTCAAATATATCTGAGAGTGTTCCATTTAATGATTATATTAATTCGTTTATTTGTTTTTGGTGTTGCGGCATTTCAAATTTTCATGCAAAAATCATAAAAATGCACATTCATGCATTCGTAGGATATGTATTTACTGCATTTATTTTATTTTTGGGAATTCTCGAATATCGTTCACGATGGTCGAAATTGTATTAATTAATTGATAGATTCATTTTTCTCTGACTTTCAATGATTACACAGCACACAGAAAAATTCGTAACTTTTTAACAGAGTTTGATGCCCCCTAGTATTTTGACCCGTTGAAGACGATGGAGACATCAAAAATGTTCCACCACGTCAGGATTTTTCCCTAACCTCAAAGAAATCGCTGAAAATCAGTGGAAATCTCGATTTTCTGCAAAAATGGATTAGATTTTGAAATTAAAGTTCACAGGGGTGTTAATAGGGTCAAAATAAAAACTTTTTGTTCCTACACTTTTTTCTGTGCACTTTAATTTCAAAATCTTAACTATTTTAACAAAAAATCGAGATTCCCACTGATTTTGAGCTATTTTTTGTGGATAGGGAAAAATCCTGACGTGATGGATCATTTTTGATGACTTCATCGTTAAAAAATATAAGAATTTTTTTTGTGCGCGTTATTTTAAACGGACATCTTTAAAATTATCCCCTGCAGCTGCTACACGCCACTGCCAACGCTGTTACCACATTTCGAAGAACTTTCGTATATTATTAGAATTCATTTTCTGTTTTTAACTCCGTCGTGTTCGAAAATATGTCATGGGGGCAAAGTTTGAGTATTTGTAACGTGAGACTACAATTTCGAGCCATTTGAACATAAACAATTTCGAGAACTCTCAATGAAATCGTTGTGACAAAAATTCGATTCAGGGCGTCAAATACCATTATTAAAAATAATTTTTCATTCTCTCTCACATTGAAATATTATTCTGTTAAGGACAGCATTGGTATATTCGTAGTGGGTGGCAACAAGTTTTTAATTTTGGTATTTGGCGAACTTGGATTGTTGGTAAAGAAAAGTTTTGTTTTTTAGTTTCTGTCAGTATTAAATGGTTAAAATTGACATTGCATTCGATTTGCATGTAAGATGTTACAAATCATATTGTATATATTGGAAACATAAAAATTAAGAAGACACTTCTCAGTCGTAACAATATTTTAGTTCGGAAACATTCTGATGCTTTTTCCTGAGTAATTAGACTATTTTCTGTGCCATATAGAGTTAAAATTATTTTCTCATTGATAGACGCAAAGATTTATAACTTAAATCGCAGATTAATTTCGGGATTTATTTTAAACTAAATTTTGGAGACGATTTTCTTTGAAAGCATTTCAGATACTTATCAGTTAGTGTTGCATATTTTGTAAACTAATTAAAAACATATTTTTTTTCGTTCATCCATTGACTAGGAGTTGGGTTAGGTTCTCAGTAAAAACAAAACTGAGAACAGACAGCAAAAAACGAAATCAAGAAAACTTTGTTCGTAGATTTTGTTTCTTTAGAGAACAAAACGGGAACAGAAAAGCACATGGGAATGTTCTAGTTGAGAATGAAATAGATGTTTTTGCATTCATAAGCTAAACTAGTCTTTGGAAGGGTTAAAGGCAGATTTCATTGCCGTCCACAATATTTGCCACTAGTATATGCGTTTTGAAAAGATTGTTTCAGAAGAATTTTTCCTGCATGCACTTGTTCCGTTTTTGTTTACAATTTTGTTTTTAGTGATAATCTTTATAGTGTCAGGCAAAAATGAGATGTACTTCTTTGAAAAGAGAAGGAAAACTACTACTTAGACAACTACTAGTCGGATACTATACCCGAGTACCATAAAAATGGGCAGTGATTCATATCCAGCACTTAGACGAGTAAAGGAGGTAAGGGGTGCAAGGGACAAAATTCCATAGGCGTGCTATTTGAGAAGGGGTTAAAAAACAGAAAATTATAAAAAATAAGTTCACTTTAGGAGGCTTATAAAGGCTGGCATCCTCTCAACAATTGTCAAGTGCCGTCCTTTTGGATGGCAATGGTCCACCACCACCCAATAACACCTACCTGATGTGCACGCCGCAGATATCACACTTTATCACTTATAATACACAGAATACACTACTGCCTACTATCTATCAGTTGAAAATGCTTCCAGAAATGCCTGCCGTTTTCTTTGGACATTAACATCTTGCCATACTTTTGTCACCGTATGACCTTAATTTTTCCATGTTTCGTTCTACGATTTATTTTTCGAACTTCTAATACTTGTCTCAAATAGTTTTTTCGCTATATCATTATTTTCTCTTTTTCTATCAGCATACTCTTTCGATTTCATTTTATAAAACGGAAACTCATGTCACGCATAGTTTGCAAAAGCACCCTTCTGGATATTCTATGCAAATTTTGATCTTGTGAGATAGCAGCTTGAATTTTTTTGATTGTCGGAAGTTCATTTTTAAAAAACTATCCATGAATTTTTCTGCGATTCACGTATTTTGTGTCGTCATCAACATCTGTCTTTTTCCTTCCGCGAGTTTCCACACTTTTCTGTTTTGCAGTCGAGTCTTATTGCACAATATACACATCTCACCAACATTCATATTTTGGTTTCGTGCTATAAGCCCTTCATACACATTTTTTATCATGTGATATTCCTGCCTTGTTAGATGAGGACGCTTACTATTACGAGAACACGCTGTAGAACTTGAATTACTCTCTATTTTAAGAATACAAACTCAAAATCTCTGATAAATTAATTACGATCACAATTAAATTAACGGAAAGATATCGTCGAACCTCTCCCGCGCGTAAGCCTATTTGCCTGTGCCGAGAGGAATACTCGGATCCGAATGAACGCAGCCCAATTGAAACACCAATGAAAGTGTAGAATTTGCTGCAGCAGAGGAATATCCTGTGCACGTCAAACGAAATCCAAGTGACGTCACACACCAAACACCAATGAGAGTTTAGAATTTGCTGCAGCAGAAGAATTCCTAAAATTGTGCAGTATCGACTGCTGTGGGAGAATGCGGCACACACAATTTTATGTGAAGAATTACGAACGGCTCGTACTTCTCTTTGAGTTAACTGCTAAAAATGGTGAGATGGATTAAAGATGAAATCACTGCCTATTATTTTGATACCTGACTATAGATGGCAACTGTTCCATAAATTCCTTGTCATCCTTATTCCTAGTATAAATAAATATGACAGGGTGTTTATGGGAGTTTCCACCTAGGGTTTTCGTTTGATTGGTTATCTATATTATACAGGGTATTCATAAAATTGTGGGCAATCTCTTAGATTTGGGCAAATTTTGCAAAAATAATGTCGCAAGTTTATTTAAAATGTTTTTCTTGGGCTCACCCTTAGAGCTGTTAGCTTTTTTCATTTATACCCTTTTTCGTTCTCATTAAATATAGATAATTTTTGGATAATACGCAATTTACGGATAACTACTTTGGACGCCTAGGCACAGAGCAAACACCTTTGGCTGTCCTGGCCCCATAAAAAATTAAAGACTTTTTAATTTTGATAAACATATGAAATAAGTGCATTACATTTAAATAACAGCTTTTACTCAGAAATTGTCTAAGTTTAATAAGAAAAAAAGAAGTTATAACAAAAAATCGATTTTCATCATAAGTTCAAGAGTTAATTCGGGTCAGCCCATAGAAAAAAATTATATAAACAGTTTTCGTCTAATTGTGGACATTGCACACAGTTTAGGTTAAGCTGTCTGCGTGCAGGGGGCAGTGTAGTGCCCATCACATCTAAAAGCGGTTATCCACTAAACGGACAAAACAAAAACAAAACACAAACTCGTGTCGAATAAAACAAAACCGTAACTTTTTGCAAATTTTTTGAAGACTGTCGTGTTTTGTGAGTTGTTTTTAGTATTGACTCAATAATAGTCGATTTACATGCAATGTTTCCGAAATAAATATTTCATCGTCATCACACATTTTTAATGTATACCTTAGATATAATAAAATTGTGTAAAAATTTTTCATTTCATAAGAAGACTGTTTTGGCAGCAAGTATCATGCACATAATTTTAGGAGTTAATAAGGCTAGCCAAATTTATTATAATGTCGCACTTACTGCAATATACCGAACAAAAATTGTATTTTGTGCGGGGAATCCTTATAAAATTCAGTGCGACATTTTCGCGTATCTACTAAGGTAAATATTGTAACATTTAAAATGTATTGCTAAGAAAGGGCACAAATATTCATTATTTATAGACACTTTTTATGTCCATGTTATGTATTCCAATGCTGACTAACTAGCGAGGACTAACGGGGTAAAGAAATGAATAAATCACTATTTATGAGCCTCACAAATTAATTTCAGATAGTTATATTTTTCCAAATACAGTGAAAATCGGTTACAACAACATTCAAGGGACACACATTCTTTTGCTTGCTTGCATTAGTTTCTCCGTTTTTAATCTATATTATACAGGATGTTTCTAAATAATTGCGAAATATTTTAGGGGGCGGTTGCCAAAGTTATTTTGTGAAAAAAAGTTCATATAAACTATGCTTGTTTCCGAGATACAGAGTGTTTAAATTTTAATTTTTTATTTATTTTTATTAATTATTTCAAAGGTATTGATCGAAATTTGAAAAATGCTTCGAATCCGAATATTTCTACTTGCACCTTTAAATAAAAGATTAACAAAACCCACAATAAAATATGTTTTATTTTTTCCTCAAAAACGGTGCATCCTACGAAAAAAATTGAAGAGACCTATTTCATTCAGAATTAATGGCGGATTTATAAAAAAATATCAAAACAGGAACAAGTCACTGGCGTACCATTTTTTTTATTAATTCTCGCACGAACGTCGCTGGTGCAAGTAGAAATATTCGGATCACCTCAAAAAATACACATTTCTCCCTCCAAAGCGTTCTTCTAATTTTGAGTCAATATCTTTAAAACTCTGAAATAAGTAATAAAAATTAAAAATTCAAATTTAAACACTTTATCTCGGAAATTAAGCATATTTTGACCTACGTTTATATGAAATTTTTCCCAAAATAACTTCGGTAACCACCCGATAAAATATTTCGCACTTATTTACAAACACCCTGTATGTGATTTTTCTTCTTCATTAAACACTTTTCTCTTCGACATCGGTGATAGAAACTGGTAATTAATGCATGTAAAATAATTATATGCGTAGTTAAATCGCAATTTGTCCCAAACCTACTAACTGGTGTCAAAAGCGTGGATGCCGGTGAGGCAGGCGGAAAAGTGGTGCATTGGTTTTAAGGCCGTATTGGTCGTTATAACTGACAAATTCTATGGTAAATGTATATAAAAATGTGTCACTAAATCCGAAATGTCATTGTAAATGGCGTCGTAGTAGATGATATTTTCAAATTCCGTCGTTATATCCAATATGTTGTATAACGCAATGTCGTTATAACCAATTTTCACTGTATAACTATAAATTAATTTTTACTTTGCCGAAGTGGACCAGAAAAATGTCGAATAAAAACTAGAGTTGTAGGGAAAATTTTTTATTTTAAATCTCCATTCAACTGTCATTTCATTGTGCAGACAGTGTATACAGGGTGTATCACAATGGCATGTCAAAAATGAAGGAGCATTTTCCTCGTCCGATTTTAATAAAATTTTCTTATATAGATAAATATTTGCCTCCTTTAAAGCAGGGTTTAAAATTTAAAAACAAATGTTTTATCTCTAAATTTATTCTAAACAAATGAAGATATTAAAAATATGCATCGAAAAGTGTGTTGAAGACCCTTAAAATCATTTAAATAATTCGAAATTTATCTAAACCAGATCATTTTTACGCAAAATAAAATCGAATTTTGAACATTTCAACGAAAAAAGTATTTTTTCCAGTGGCAGTGTTTTTGAGGAAAACGACCAGCATACCTCGTATGTACTCTACTGGTTTGAGTTGAAATAAAGAAAACAGTCCTACATTTTAGACATGTTGATATGCTATACCATTTCCAGCTGTTTATTTTATATTTTTCTGGGACGCAACGTGTAATATGCATACCTCTAAAAGAATCCTTTTTAGTTAAAAGTGATTTTGTACACTTTTTTTAGGGCGAGGTATTTATTTTCAGACATATTGGTTTATTCTGGGAAAATTGTGTATTCTTGTAAGTCCTTGCCGATTTTAGGACCATTTTTCACGCATTTTCACTGTGGCCAGTAGACTTAAAATGGTCTTAGGATTAGTCATTAATTTTAAACATTTCCTCTGCAATACACACAATATTTCTAAACCAGACGTGGCTAGGAAACAATTTTTTAAAATGATTTAGAAATACTGTGTTGTTTCAGTGCCATATTTATTTTTGTATCGCATACAAATCTTGCCATACCTAATTTTACATTCAAAATAATTATCCTGTTGAACTTTTCAGGACTAATGTGTTATGTTGTTAATCTATATATTGTTAAAATAGAGATATTACTGTATTGTACGAATAAATGTTAATAATGAGGTATATATATATTTTCATGACAGATTATAAGAGTATTATAGTAGTAAATAACTATATTACAATGAAGTCATTACATAGGTCGTAGATGCTATAAACATTTATTAAGGAGCCCATGTTAGGAGAAAAATGTTTTTAGATATAAAAATGGTTCATTTGCCAGATGCAGTTAAATTTTTTGTATGGAGGACAGGTATACAGCATTTAAATCGGCTGATGTAAAAGTTTAAAAAACTTGCACTCTGTACAAAAATCAAAGATGTATCCGTACAATTAGATAAAGTGTACCATACTTAGATGTTAACTAATTGCGTAATTTTTGACTTTCACAAACAGTATATCAGTGACACATTTATCATTTTGTGTTTAATATGGTCGTGAATGTATATTTCCATATTTACAGTTTTCTATTATTACATTCCTGCTGAATTAATCTTTATACCCAACTCTTGTTATTATGATGACTTGTATTTATCTTCCATTTGTCTCTGACAACTTTTATAAATTTATTAGTAATAATATTTTAATTATGAATGTTATTTTATATGTCAATATTTAAAAAATATAAATTATTATAATCCATATTTCTTCATAATTTTTGGATAATAAATTTTAAATGTGAGTTTGCCTCTTATTGTATGTGTCCTAACCCTTCAAAGTAGATGATAATGTTTATTGTTGTCACCAGAGCCTGGGCACCGTAAAAAATGCCGCCCCATTACCCATATTCTACACAAAGTGGGTGAGGGTTCAGAATACTGTTTTGACTTTCCGCCATAAAAACCTCTAATATTTCAAAATTGGAATGTTATTGATTTCAGGCCGATTTTCGAAAATCGAGTATTCATCAGATCTCGACGTTTTGAGATCATAGGAAGCTAAAGCTCAAAAAACTAGGCCGAATGCTATAAATCCCATTAAAATCAGTTGGTCCGTTCGAGAATATTGTTGATGAAAAGTTTCGAAAAAAGTTTTTTTTTCTTTTGAAACGACATTCGAATTCTTAGTGAAATCGAGATATGGTACTCATCTATCTTGAGCATTTCGCAGCGCATAGTTTGAACTAAAATAATTACCCGGGGAAAAAAATTATATATAATTATATACAGGGTGTTTGCGGAAGTGATGTACATACTTCAGTATGTTATTCTATATTCAATTTTAAGCAAAAAAATTTCCTATTACAGGTTTGGAAATGCTTCGTTTAGGATATACAGGATGTCAAATTTAAAAAAATTAATTACATTTTCTTTAATAACTCTCGACTACTTTGAGTTAAAATCGTGAAATTTTGTATGCGGAGGTTTCTGGGGACGGGAAATTCAAATTTTATGGACGATTGGCTGTATCTCCTAGAGGGCGCCACAAGGGACCATTAAGATCCTTTTAAATCGCTTCAACTTTTTGTGCCACAGTGTATGTCATTTTGGAATAGAAAAACATTTTCCCCTATCTTTTCTACTTAAGAAATGTACACCATATTGAAGTCCTTAGGAGCAGCCGTTTCCGTTAAAAACTCATTATATATTAGAGTGCTAATTATGTATCAGCTTCCTTGGTAAACAGTATCATTGGAACTAGTTGACGATTAGCGTTCACAAAATTACAATTTTCTGGCATGATCTCTTGGTTGAACATTTTGTACGTTTGAAATATGGAGAGGATACAAGTCTTGTTTGCGTAATGTACATTTTTTTAATTGGCATTTCGGTTATCTGCTCGTTCAGAATGATAATGACTACTTGGAAGCAAACCGAATTCACGTAATTTGGTAAATGTGTTAGAAAACACCCTTGCATCTGGAACCGTTCTATTAGGAAATCGTCTCCGATATGCTCTATGAGTAACCCATGAATTTTCATTTGAAAAGCCGTAACTAAATAACATATCAGCATTCTCTTTATGCTTACAGATGCATATTTAAAATTAAAATTTAAATACAAACAAGTTTGCAAAACAAAAACTGTTCATTTTATGTCAACTATCTGATGGGAGTCTACTTGAAAATTTTACTTTTATTTATTTCCGTAATTAGAACTTGTCAATAAGAAGATTATCAAGTAGGCTGCCATCAGATAGCTGACATTTAATTAAAAGTGACATAAAATGAATAGTTTTTGATTTGCAAATTTATGTTTGTATGTAAGTTTTAAAAATGCCACACAACTTTACACATAGTGAGTATGCTGATATGTTATTTTGTTACAGCTTTTCCACAATGGGTAATTTTTTTTATCAATTTAAAAAAAGATATTTTTAAAAAGTTCTGCTTTTTGAAAAAATGGTATTTGTTTGGTTTTGTGGTAAATAAATTGACCTTAAAGTGGACTGTATATTTGTTGACAAATGTTACAATATAACATGTCTCAGAAGCCTACTTTTTTCTACGTTATTACAAACAACTAGACTTAAGCTAAGGAAACTAAGGAGCGTGCTCCGTCCATGCCGCCCGCCTTGAAAGCCTAGTCTTTCAATAAAATATAAAATATTTAACCAAATAAAATAATAATAAATAAATAATATAATAATATTTGCTTGTATTAACATTTCATTGGCAAAATAAAAAGAAACCTCATATTTATTCTTGAAAATAAGTTTCTATTGGCAAAACACACAAGCGTTTTATAGCTCACTTAAAAACACCTTCACGAGTTTTGACACTAACCACACTGTCAGCGCCTGGATGGAGCTCCGTCACTCTTCCTAAATGCCATTTCAAAGGAGGTAGGTGGTTGTCCTTTAGAAGAACTAGCATTCCTGGCTGAATGGTGTCACTACCTGATCTCCATTTTCCACATGATTGCAACGAAGACAAATAATCCTTAGACCACCGTGTCCAAAAATGTTGAATCATTTGGGTTAAATGCTGATATCGTGAGAGTCTATTCAGTTGAAGGTTGCTAACATCTTCCTGAGGTAAAGCTAAGAGCGATGTACCTATGAGGAAGTGGCCTGGAGTAAGAGCGTCAAGGTCGCAGGGATTTTCTGATAATGGAGTAATAGGGCGGGAGTTCAGGCAAGCTT